ATGTTTATATATATATATATTAGTCTTACTATACGTTAGTTGCGTGTGTACCCAAAATTAATAAATACTAAGCGTGTACCCCATGTCAAAATATACAATCTTAAAAAAACGAAAAAAAGGGTCTGATCTGTCCCACTATTATGATAAATTGTTTAAAGTTATCCCCCGTTACACTATTGGACCATAAAACTCCCTGCCGTCTTACTATTCGAACACATATACCCCTTTTTGATGGAGGGGACACATGGCACCAATCCGTGCCCTTTTTACATCTGAGCACATATTAAATCAACCCATCTCATTTCTTTTAACCCGGTTTACTTCAAAAAAAATATTACCCGACCCAAAGTTCCACCCCCATTACTTCTCTAATCTCTCTCTCCTCTTTTCCTTCTCACTATTATAACCATGGCCGGAATTTCCATCGATGAACTCGCCGGAAATGATGGAGAATCTTCAGATTTGTCACCTCGCACTTTCTCTTCCTCTTTCTCTATAGCTACACACATTTATACACAGATCTGGAGAAATATACACAAGAAGTCAAAAAATCTAGCTGGAAGTGTAGCAACATTAGCCAATTGATTCTGTTCCTGGGTAATTACAGCACCTCCATTTGGAAATTACCTTGAACACAATTCTTTCCTCTCTGTTTTACCATTATTAATAAACCCTTTTGCAACTCACTCTTACATATATCACCAAAAATTATTTTCATTACCATTTTAAAGATGATGTTAAATGTTGCCAATTTCTGGTTACCACAAGCAAAAACATTTAACACAACAGTGACATTTGGTCATTGATCTTCAAAATTAGCAACGGTTTTTTCTAAACTCAGTTTAGGTTCTAATGAAAGATTCAACTTAATTCAGGAATTCCCATAAGATGTAAGCATGTTCCTTAAATTTTGGACTTAATATTTGTGAAAATGACAATAAAATTGCATCAGAATTGCAGCAACCTCTTGTTAGACATTTCAAGATCCAACTAAGTAGCACCATATGGGGTGTCTCAGATCTCCACTATACTTCCAATCTTATTTGGCAGTGACGGCGAGTGTAGGGGGAGGTGGTCGTGGAAGAAGAAAAGAATGGAGTGGGATAAGGTGGAAGAAGAAGAGAGTTAGGTTATGGGTTCTGAGTCTTGGGTCGGGTAAAGTTTAATTTTAGACTAGATATACTAAGAGCCTTGGATACGTGCCACGTGTCCCCTCCGTCAAAGAAGGGGTATATGCGGCATGAAATTTTATGGTCCAATAGTATAACATGGGACAACTTTAAATAATTTATCATAGTAGAGGGGCATATCAGACTTTTTTTCTGTTAAAAAAATATACTCCTATAATATTAGATAATATGGTATAAATTTCTGAAATTTATAGAATGTTGACCCTATTTAGGAAAGGTGTGTTATTGAGATTTTTTGCGTCGTCTACAATTGCTACAATTTATTTCTCTCTCTATCTCTCCCTTTCTCTATTCTCCTTTATATTCTTCACTAATTTTTTGCAATTTGTTTTAAATAATTGTTGAGTATAATTTTTAAATATTGTGCAAAAAAATTCGATGATAAACCTGAAAATTTGAGAAAACTGAAAAATCCGAGAAAAGTCGAGATTGAAAAACTCGATTTTGTTGGTTTGATTTGATTTTTAGATTTAAAAATCCGAAATCATTAATTTGGTTTGGTAATTGAAAAATCCAAACCAACCCGACCTATGTACACCCCTAGTGTGAAGTAAAGTTTCAATAGCATAATAGTTGTGAAAGAAAGGTGATTTAAGGTTGTTTTCTTTAAAATTTAGGCGAAAGCCACTCGTAAACCTAAAAATAATCCCAATAGAATTAGTATTGAATGAATACTAAAACGAGAAGGGAATATAAAGAACTCTAAACTAAATAATATGACTTTTTGGATCAAAGTCCTAAATATTGGGCAAGATATTAAATTCCTAAATAAGGGAAAGATTAATAGTAAACAATTTAGGGAATTTTAAATCCTAAATATTAGGGAAACAATTAAAATTATAATTTTGACCACTATAAAAGTTATTTTAAAGGGTAAAAAAGGCGAACGACATTTCGCTAAGTGCCTTCGTACTTTTAATATAGTGTGTGTGTGTGTATATATATATACTCTCTTCCTATTTTAATTTAAATTATATATTTCACTTATCGAGAGTCAATATGACTAAACTTCGAAATTAAATTAGATTAGTTCAACTCATTATTTAACATCAAAATTCAGATATTCAAAAATTATACTTAAACTACTATAAGTTTAAATTTTTCTCATGTTAATATGATTAAAAAAATATATTTTAAAATATTGGTTAAACTTCTCACAGTTTAGTTCTCGATAAGGGAAATGTATCATCTTAATTGAAATAGAGGGAGTATATATACTCCGTATTGAAAGTTTTAGATCCAGATAAATTCATAGCCAAAAGACAACGCCGCTTCTGCACCAAAAACACCTAGGCTTCACAACTTCGCTCTGTTTGGACCTAGAGTGTTGAGACTCTGTGCAGAGGTGAGTTCAATTGAATCAACATTTCTATCATAGGCAATGAATAGGCCAAAAATTTGCTTTTAGAATATTTAGCATAAAATGGCATTAAAGAACGTCATCGGTCGAGCTCACCCAAGGTATAACGAGATTAATGGATAAGGTGTCGATATGAGCCGTGATCGAGACATCAATAGAGATCGCGGTCAAGATGTGAACAAGGGTCGAGGTTGAGATCGAATACTAGTGATAGGACTTGTAATGGCTAATTTATCAGAACGGGATATTAAAAGGGGAATATTCTACTGAATATTCCTAATGTTTGTACTATTAGGGTTTCCTAAGAAAAAGGCCCCATATATATAGAAAGAAGAGACAATGATAGGGGCATGTAATATTAATTCTGATAAGAACACTTTTGAAACGAAGACTTTCTCTCTTACAAAAATACAAAGACCACCTTTTGATAAAGATTCTGGGCCATATCATTCCACCTTTCCATCGGATCCAAAGATTGTTCATACGAATCTTGAACTTATCTGTCATTCATTATTGTCATGAGAAATATTCGTTCAACCCACTTATTATTGGGTCAATCTTTCTCCTTATTTACTTAAATGTCATTTATTACTATTTATTGTTAGTTACACCTCCATTAATATTTAGGCTTGAAGGATATTTTACATTCATTGTCATCAATCATCTAGGAGATCTGTCCCATCTACTATACGTTTTCAAGATTAGTGTCTAGAGTTATTATCCTTAACTAGATTTAACCTCTTTCTTACATAAATTGAATAGTTTAACCGAGAGTTATATTTTTTGGTCAAACAATTTAGCGCCGTCTGTAGGGATTTCTAGATAAGTCATTTAGTTTCTTCTAAATCTACAACGACACTGGTTACTGACGCAAAAAACAAAACAACAAAAAGAACTTTCTTCTCTTTGTATGCAAAGATCTAACATAGCAGGTAACAAAGAAGAAAGAACGAGAATAATGAGCAACCTCCCAACCAACCTCATGGGCGTCATCCAAGAGAATTCTGAAGAAGTAGATGAGGACACAACACCCAATGCCTCACCTAGGCGAGGTGGATCACCCCTCCCCACTGCAGCATCACAAAATCCCATGGCAAGACCGCCTCCACATCCGTGGAAGAGGAGACACCGCCAGTGATAAAGAATCTCCTTAAGGCTTGGCTGACTGATACATTGACCAGCGTCCTCCATAAGCTCGTTCAGGACGCGGGAGCAGTAAAGGCGAAATCATGCGCTGCACCATCATTGGGAGAGCAACGGGATCAACCTCCTCTACCCACAACGACAGATATTGCTTATAGTGTTGTTAACAATGCAGGCGATGAAGCTCTCACTGTCATTCTGAAAAGGATGGAGGAAATGGAAAATGAGAACAAGACACTTCGAGATCAAATAAGAGAGCACCAAGAAAGGGTCGATAAAATACCGGGCGCTCCTAAGTTATTGCCGAAGAGAGACGACGGTCGGTTCATCGAGCAGCCGTACAATGACATCGCCGCACCATATGTCATACCAAAGACCTTTAAAATGCCGCCTTACCTGAAAATATACGATGGCACAACCGTTCCCGAAGATCATGTGACCCATTACGTCACCGCCGTGAAAGTCAATGATCTTGCCAAAGGACAAGTATCCTCCATTCTACTAAAGATATTCGGTGAAACCCTAACGGGAGGTGCATTAACCTGGTACTCATAGCTGCCAGCACGTTTCATCGAAACTTTTGAGGAAATGGCTGACAAGTTCATGACGGACCATGCCGGGGCCAAGAAGGCCGAGGCAAGAGTGAATGATATCTTTGCTATCAAACAGTCACCGGGAGAATGACTGAGAGACTTCCTCGCCCGTTTCAACCGAGTGAGAATGACTCTACCCAATGTATCAGAAGGAATGGCGGTAGCCGCTTTTCAAAATGGGTTGAACAGAAATGGTTCGAGAGCGACTAGAAAATTATTAAGTCTGCTCATGAAATACCCCTGATAACTTGGGACGAAATACATAATGCATACTGCTCCGAAATACGAGCAGACGAAGACGACCTCAATGGGCCGACTCATCGACTGGCCTCAGTACAAGCAGAATCCAGAAAAGATCGGAGAAGTGATATCAGGAGAGAACCGGCAACCTCACGGCCGAACCGGGAACGACATCTCCCATATGTCAGGACTACCGTTGTATCCTCACCTCGCTATGAAGAAGGCCCACCTCGATCAAGAACAGGGACTCACAGAAATGAAAGTGGTATGCCCTCTTTTTTATCTGTTCACAATTTTTACGTGTCACCTACAGAGATCGTCTACACCTTGGAGAAGCTCGGACCAAAGGTGAAGTGGCCGCAGAAAATGAGGTCAAACCCTAATACCAGAAAATCAGAAGCCCTCTATGAGTTCCATCAAGAGCGCGGACACAAAACCGAAGATTGCATCTCCCTAAGATAGGAGGTCATGAACATGCTGCGACAGGGATACCTCAAGGAATTGCTGAGCGATCGGGCAAGAACCAACTTTGCCAGGGGACGCGATCATCACGGGCCGCCGAAACCGCCCTCGCTAGCCTGCACCATCTATATGATCATCGGCGGAGGAGACGACGCTTCCATCAATAGCGTGAAGTTCATCACGACTCTCAAGCTCAAACGGTCGATCACCTATGAACGGTATGATGAACTCAAAGAAAGTATCATCTTCGATAAGTCAGATACCAACGGTTTGACATTCCCTCATTATGACGCTCTTGTTATTACTTTACGAATTTTAGATACCGACATAAGACGGATTATGGTAGATGATGGGAGCGGTGCGTGTATTATCTATCCCCGAGTACTCACACAAATGAAACTCGAGGACAAGATAGTACCACGCTGCATCACACTAATAAGATTTAACATTGCAGTTGAACGAATATCTGGCAAGATCATACTCCCCGTCCTGGCGGGTGGCATCACTTTGGAGATCACATTCCACATCATGGACCAGGATACGACATACAACGCCATAATAGGGCGACCGTGGATACATTCCATGAGGGCCATACCCTCCAGCTTGTACCAAGTCATCAAATTCCCAACTCCATGGGGCATATTCAGCATAATCGGGGAACAACGCACATCCCAAGAGTGCTACCGCATCACCCTAGACTGCACGACTGCTCAACAAAGGGAAGACAAAGAGAAAAAAGCATAGCAACCAACATGGTCGAGGTCAGTAGGCAACGACATCGAAGACGTCATTAGAGATCTCGATGTGGCCGAAGCCGCAGGATCGACCACAGAGGACTTCGACCCAGTTCAGTTAGACGTCAACGACCACAGGAAGAAAGCTTACACCGGCTGCAAACTTCAAGAACCGGGAAAGTTCTGCAAATTTCTAATTGCTAACGCAGACTTGTTTGCTTTTAGCCATACAGATATGCCAGGTATCCCAAAGGAGATCGTCACACACAGATTGAACGTCGACCCACTCTACCCCCGGTAAGGCAGGTACGACGCAAGTTCAACCCCGCAATCAATAACGTGGTGCGCGAAGAAGTGAAAAAACTACTAGAAAATGGTTCCATCACGGAGTCGAAGTACCCCCAATGGGTCGCCAACGTGGTCATGGTGAAAAAGAAGAACGACAAGTGGCGAATATGTGTAGACTTCACCGACCTAAACAAAGCCTGCCCCAAGGACTCATTCCCATTACCCCACATTGACCGGCTCATTGACGCGACAGCCAGGCACGAGTTGTTAAGTTTCTTGGATGCCTACTCGGGCTACAACTAGATCCTTATGGCAGAAGAGGATCAGGAAAAAACCACCTTCATCACCCACCAAGGGACGTACTGCTATAGGGTCATGCCTTTCGGATTGAAAAATGCGGGGGCAACTTACCTAAGGTTGGTGACGATGATGTTCAAAGAACAACTCGGAAAGACGATGGAGGTATACATCGACGACATACTGGTCAAGTCCAAAAGAAGGGAAGATCACATCGACCACTTAAGAGAAGCATTCCACATACTCAGGCAATACGACATGAAACTAAACCCCGAGAAATATGCATTCGACGTGGCCTCAGGGAAATTCTTGGGCTTCCTAGTGTCGCAGCGGGGTATCGAGGTCAATCCCGACCAAATCAAGGCCATCGAGGGTATTCTAGAGCACTTGACTACCAAAAAGCAAGTCCAGAAGCTAACTGGCCGAATAGACGCTCTATCAAGGTTCATCTCGGGATCCTCCGATAGATGCTACAAGTTCTTCGACGTACTCAAAAAAGAGAATGGCCTCCAATGGACCCCTGAGTGTGTCCAAGCACTAAAGGAGTTAAAGGTGTACCTATCCTCATCGTTGTTGCTCTCAAAACCGAAACTAGGACAACCTCTTCTTATTTATCTCGCCGTGTCCGAGGTAGCTGTTAGCGCAGTCTTAGTCCAAGAAAATAAAGGTACGCAATCTCCCATCTATTACATTAGCAAAACGGTGGTCGACGCCGAGATGAGGTACCCCTATCTTGAAAAACTGGCCTTGGCCTTGGTCGTAGCTTCACGAAAGCTTAGACCATATTTCCAATGCCATCCCATCTCGGTCGTCACGACTTTCCCCTTAAGAATCATTTTGCACAAACCCAAACTTTCGGGCAGATTAGCCAAATGGGCCATTGAACGAAGAGAGCATGATATTACATATCGGCCGCTAACGACAATAAAGTCTCAGGTCCTCGCCGACTTCAGTGCGCACATATTGCTCGAAGTCGAAAAGGAAGTCATCCACGCTCCTTCCCAAATACATGACCTCTAGGTCTTATACACTGACGGTGCATCTAATGCGCCGGGGTCCGGGCTGGGACTCGTACTAGAAGTCCCAACAAGCAAAGTGATTCACCAGTCCATAAGATGCCTAGACATGACTAACAACGAGGCCGAGTATGAGGCCGTAATTGCAGGATTAAGACGCACTCAAATACGGGGCAAAGCGGCTAAGGCTGCGCTGCGACTCTCAGCTCATGCTCAACCAAGTCATAGGGACTTTCCAAATCAAGGAGCAGAGGTTACAAAAATATCAGACCAAAATTTGCAAACTACTACCCGAGTTCGACGAATGTCAGCTCGATCAGATTCCCCGAGCACAGAATATCAAGGCGGACGGCCTCGCCAAATTAGCGGCAGCCACCAAAAACATCACAACCGGAGACCAAAATATGGTCCACCTCCTCAACTCGTCGATACACCAAATCAAGGTAAGAAATATAAACCTAACTTGGGACTAGCGCAACCGTATTATTACATATTTGTCGGATGGTACACTCTGCAGCGACAAAAAAGAGGCCAAGAAGCTGCGAATGCATGCGGCCAGGTACAACCTCGTTCACAACAACCTATACAAAAGGACATATGGTGGCCCTCTGGCGAAATTCTTAGGCCCAAATCAGACGCGATGCGTCCTTGAAGAAGTGCACGAAGGTCACTCTGGAGCTCATTCCGGCAATCGAGCGTTGGTCAGATGCCTCATACGAGCAGGATACTATTGGCTCACCCTGAAAAAGTAGGCCGCAGATTTCGTAAAAAAATGCGTGCAATGCTAGAAGTACGCCCCAATGATCTACCAAGCAGGCGAACGCCTACACTCAGTAACTTCCCCTTGGCCATTCATCAAATGGGGAATGAATATCGTGGGCCCCCTCCCGTCCCGACGAGGTAACGTACGATTTCTCTTAGTTTTAACTGACTATTTCTCTAATTGGGTGGAAGCAGGAGCATTCGCCCAAATACGCGAAAAGGAAGTAATCCCCTTCATTTGGAAGAACATCATATGCCGTTTTGGTTTCCCCAAAGAAATCAGCTGCGACAACGGCCTCAATTTGCAGGAAAGAAGGTCGCCGACCTTTTCGAAAAATGGCACATCAAAAGAATACTGCCACTGCCATACCACCCTGCGGGTAACGGGCAAGCCGAATCCTCAAACAAGTCAATACTTAATATCATGAAGAAGAAGCTCGAAGACGCCAAGGGACTGTGGTCGGAGATATTACCAGAAGTACTCTGGGCCTACCGAACAGCGCCAAAAATGAGCACAGGGGAAATGCCATACTCGTTAGTCTATGGGACTGACGAAGTAATACTAGTCGAGGTCGGAGAACCCAGTCTATGATACTTCCGTAAAAGCGGACCCCAGAACAATGACGGTAGAAGGCAGGAGCTCGACGAAGTCGAGGAACGAAGAGATATGGCCTATGTGAGAATGGTCGCCCAAAAGCAGCAAGCAAAACACTACTATAACAAAAGAGAATAAATCAGCCCGCTTAAAGTCGGGGACTACGTGATGAAAGCTAAAACACAAGCAAGCAAAGACCCACGGGAAGGCAAACTAGGAACAAACTGGGAGGGTCCCTACAAAGTCACGGCAGCGGCATGCAAAGGGTCATTCACACTAGAAACAATGGAAGGAACGCGACTACCAAACAACTGGAACATTACATACCTCAAGCACTTCAACTTTTTAAGGACAAGGCCCCCAAAGTCGCACTCTTTTTCCCTTTCTCGAGTTTTGTCCCAATTAGGTCTTCTCGAGGAGGTTTTTAACAAGGCAAGGATGGGGATACTTCAAGATTGAAGTGCGCACAAATGAGGGCACTGGACGGCTAGTTTATTGCTCAATCTCTCACTATTTTTCTAGTTTGACCAATAAAGGGACTAGATAGACTAGGACTGAACTACCAGCCTACACCCGAAAAATATGTAAATCTCTCCAAGAATATGAATAAAGCACAAGCATATGAAGTTTATCCCCGCTCTCCCCCAATTAAAGGTTATATTAGACCTCGTTCGAATTAACACCTACTCGGCCTACGGCCTCAATTAATATAATGTTACATTCGACCTCGTTCAAGTTAACACCTAATCGGCTCACAGCTTCAATTAATACAAGGTTACATTCGACCTCGTTCGCATTAACGCTTACTCGGCTCATGACCTCAATTAATATAAGGTTACATTCGACCTCGTTCGCATTAACGCTTACTCGGCTCATGACCTCAATTAATATAAGGTTACATTCGACCTTGTTCCAGTTAACACCTCATCAGCCCACGGCCTCAATTAACATAAGGTTACATTCGACCTCATTCGAGTTAACACCTAATCTGCCCACAGCTTTAATTAATATAAGGTTACATTCGACCTCATTCGAGTTAACACCTAATCTGCCCACAGCTTTAATTAATATAAGGTTACATTCGACCTCGTTTGAATTAACACCTACTCGGCCCCCGACCTTATTTAATTAATATAAGAATACATTCGGTCTCGTTCGAATAAACACCTATTCGGCCCATGACCTCAATTAATTAAAGGTTACATTCGACCTCATTCGAATAAACAACTATTCGGCACATTCAAACAATATTTTTACTACAGAGGCAGTCAAGCAACAAAATAAGAAAAGTGCACAAATCCGAACAAAGAAAAGAAACTAGGTACGAATAACAAAACTAACATTTCATACTATAGAATAGTTTTTACAAAGGCTGCACGCATACAAACGTACACACGTCCGCGATGAAGACAAAAAAAAGGAGAGAAATAATCGCCACCCGGCTCAGCAGCGCCACTCGCTTGATCGTCCAAACCATCTTCACCCGTCTCATCGCCTTCGCCAACAGGATATTCATCCTCATAACAGGTACCATGTTCGATCCGATCAATGCTCGCTCCTTCGTCATCATCGCCAGCTTCCGGTGTAACGGGATCGTAGCCACAAGCAAACTGAGCGTTACGCGCTTTAACACGTGCATCCTTGAAGACGGGTTCTGAAACTGCCCCACTCCCATCAAATCCCTGAATATATCCAGCTGAGCCTCGGCGTGAATCCACTCCTCGTATAAATCCCGAGGAACATCAGGAAAAGCAGAAGCGCGGGAGGAGGACGACTGAGCCAATAACTGCACCTTCTTGGCCTCAATAGAGGCAACTCGATCGCTAAGGCCCGGAGCTTCTTTTTCTAACTCCCTTTTCCTCTCATCAAGTCGCTCCTCTCTAAGTCTAGCCGTCTCCAAAGTGCAATCCCGCTCAGAATGGAGAACACGGATAGCGACCTCTAAAGCCTTCATTTTCCTCGTAGCCGATAACTGGGCCGACTCTGCCTTCTCCAAACCCGCTACCTTCTCGGAAACCTCGCTACTCAAAGTGACCACTTGGAGCTGACACTCCTCGAGCTCAGCGCGTAATGAGACTACTTGGGCTTGAATATTGACACATTGGGCCTCGACCCCCCGGCTCACCTCCAGCTCCTCTTCTTTGTCCCTGAACGCCCCTCGAGTTCACTACATTTTCCGAGATTCGCGATATTTCCGCTCCATCTTATGAAAAATGGCCTTACGCCTCTTCTCTCGGCGGGCACTCTCCATCTCCAAGATCACGGTCTAAAAGAAAGCCAGAGCGAGTAAGAATAAAACTGGATTCAACATACAAAACAAAGAAAGCATAAAAAATAAAGAAAGATCAAAGGCTTACCTTAAGAGCGACGCCAGCTATGCACCTCGAAAAAGTAGTGTCCTTCAGTTTCTCGAGGGTTTTACCCTCCACATCGGAACATAGGGTACCAAGAGAGAGGACCACATCCTCCGTATTAACTAGCAGAATCCGGTCCAAAGGGATCGCGATAGTCCGTGTGCTCCCCTCCAATCTCACCTTGAGTCGGGTTAGTCTTTCCCCTATCATCCTAACTTCTTCGGTGTCCACATCGGAGCCCGTCTCATAGACTTCTTCGGCTACACTTTTCCCCTTTGTGTCAACCTGGGAAGAAGGATCCTCAGCTGGTAACGAGGTCGACGGCTCGTCCTCTCGTAGGGCGTCAGGGACTCTCGCTGACGGCCCCTCAAAATCCATTTTGGCCTCAGGGAGCAACGTATATCCCTCGGCCTCCGACAACAGCAAGATCGTGGTCAGCAACTCGGCGCCATCTCCAAGGTCAATGGTCGTTGTTTCTCATACGACAAAATCTGCCATCACCAAACCCCCCGCACGGGCAGCTCTTTCGCCGATATCTACAGATCGCTTCTTGCGGAGAAGCGAGTTATCGTTATTCGGCGATGATCCTTCCTCTTCATCCTCATCTATTAGATGACGCAAAGGGGAAATCAAAAGTCCTGGTCGATATCAGCCGTGGTCGAGACATCGATAGAGATCGTGGTCAAGATGTCAACAAGAGTCGAGGTCGAGATCGACTATTAGTGATAAGACTTATAATGTTTCTAATGTTTGTCCTATTAGGATTTCCTAAGAAAAAGGCCCCATATATATAGAAAGAAGAGACAGTGATAGGGGCATGCAATATTGATTCTGATAAGAACACTTTTGAAACGAAGACTTTCTCTCTTGCAAAAATACGAAGACTACCTTTTGATAAAGATTCTGGGCCATATCATTCCACTTTTCCATCGAATTCGAAGATTGTTTATACGAATCTTGAACTTATCTGTCATTCATCATTGTCAGGAGAAATATTCGTTCAACCCACTTATTATTGGGTCAATATTTCTCCTTATTTACTTAAATACCATTTATTACCATTTATTATTAGTTACACCTCCATTAATGTTCAGGCTTGAAGGATATTTTGCATTCATTGTCATCAATCATCTACAGGATCTGTCCCATCTACTATACGTTTTCAAGATTAGTGTCTAGAGTTATTATCCTTAACTAGATTTAACCTCCTTATTATATAAATTTAATAGTTTAACCGAGAGTTATATTTTTTGGTCAAACAGGCAATAGATATAATCATAGAAGAGTAATAAAAATATCAAATTCTAAAATCATATTTTCAAATAATTCAAAATCTTGAACCTTAAAATTGTAAATAAGTACTACTTACTAAAGTTGCCTATGATTGATGTAATAATACATATGTTTCAACTATGGTGCTATTACTTAATACCAGATAGTTGCTAGCAGCGCTTGTTCCCCTTTTTGTCCCCCCTCTCAATTTTCTTCCCCCTTTTGGCATCATCAAAAGATTATACGCAAGTAAATGCAAAAAGAAGTCCAGAAAGGTTAACTCATGCCATATGTGTGCACACAACATGGCTAAAAACAGAGTGCAAGAGTATAACATACATAGCAAAAGACTGAGATGCTCATTAATTAATAAGAGATGAAAACAGAGGAAATAGCACCATTGTTACAAAAACATCCACATAAAAACAACTTAAAGTACTAGTCATAACAACAACAAGCCAAAAGAGACATTGAGGTTAAGACAAACATCATTCAAACTAGACACTGAGAAATGAACTGTTTAAGGGGCACTGGAAGAGAGAGGGAAGTATGAAGAGACAAGTGCTTTGAGAAGAATGTCCACTCGAGCATTTGCAGACCTTCTCGTTTATCGGCTGCTCTTTCAGGTCCTCGACCTCTTTCCTCAGGTCTGCATTTTCAGTAGTCAAGCGGGTAACCTCTGCGCCTTGCACACTGTTGGAACTAGGTTCCTCCTTGGCTTGACTGAGTTTTCCCTAGAGAATGGCATTCCCGGCCTTCAGCCTCCTTATTTCCTCGTTAGCAGTATTCTGAGCATCAATTAACTAAGAAATGGTAAAATTGCTGCCAACACCCCCTTCTTGTTAATATAATCACACTCCTCCAAGGTTGACTTCGAGAAAGTTTGCTTTCGAGTTCTGACTGCTGCTCTTCCCAAAGGGACTTTGAAGAATTCAAACACGCGAGTAAGCAAGAACCCATAAGGCAAACCATGGTTCCCATCCTTGAAACCTGCCACATTTTTCATATGTTCAATCATGATACCAGACAGATTGATAGTTGTGTATGCATCCAGAGCTTCCATGAGGAACATGTTTGCTTTTGAAGCAATGGAACGCCTTTCTACGTGTGGAAGAAGGACCTTATTCACCATTTCAAACATAAGGTGATACTCTGGAAGGAGGGCCTTCTTGTGCAATCGTTCCCCTTGCTGAACAGCCTGAGCTTTTAGAATGACCTTTCTAAAGTCAGGGGAACATGTCCCTTCAACAGATGAGAATCCTTCAGTGGGCACACCCAAGATACTTCCTAGAACAACCTCGCCCGTTACAAAATCTACTCTATTAACCTCCAAGCAGATGTTGTCGTCTTCCACAGTAAACAGATCTGCGT